AACATGGCACCTCATGGCAAAGAACTTTCTGATGATCTTAAAAAAAGAATTGTTGCTAAATATAAATATTTACAAATAAAAATATTTACAAAAATGTTACAGGTGTACTCACTTCTGTGAGATACTGTATGCCATTTGTAAACACTATAACTTTCACGTAAACGAATTAATTTACACGTATTGGGATTTTTTTTTTTTTTGCAAAGACATGTAGCAGAATAAATTTTGGCCTAAATTTATGATGAAATTTGATTTTTTCTATTTTTTTACTGGACATGTTTAATAGCAAAAAGTCAAAAATATAGTTTTTTTCTCAAAATTGTCAGTCTTTTTTTTATAGCGCAAAAATAAAAACGCACAGGCGATCAAATACCAGTAAGAAACCTCTATTCGTGTGAAAATAAAGACGCAAATTTAATTTGGGCGCAGCATTGCATGACCGTGCAATTGTCGGTTAAAGTAACCTAGCGATGAAATGCAAAAAAATGGTCTGGTTAGGAAGGGGGGTAAATCCTCTGGAGGGCAAGTGGTTAAAATTGTATTTATGATAACGACAAAAATAAAACTGGTCCAGTATAAAATTATAGTGGTTTCCTTTAATCAAACTAAACTGTATTCATATTCTTCATTAGCTATAGAGGTAATGAAAAATATGAATACAGTCTGCACAGAGTACAACGTGACTCGAGCTCAACATCAGCGCAGCAGAAAAAAATATATATTTTTACATTTTTCTGAACAATCTGTAGTCTGTTCAAAGTTGCTAAAGACATCTGGGGACATATTAGCGCAGTAAAACAAAGGGCTTTGCCTAAGCAGATTTTATATGCAGCCCAATTTCAGAAAGAAAAAATGGTTTAAGCAGTCAGTCAGTTCAACAACTTTGTTCTTGAAAAAAGAAAATGAATCAGTGAAAACATTTATTGATCTTAAAGTCACATTTATGCTTAATTAATCTGCTTTTTCTACACATAAAATGGACATTCTGACGTTATATTATGTTTCTAACAGATATTTGGCCTTTTTATCTCTTACAACTGCGTGCAGACTGGGATCTGAACATTGAATACTTAAAGCCCAACAGAGACAAGTTAGAAGGGTAGAGTAGTGGGGCTGCAAATATCTTTGTACCTGTAGTGACAGAATCTCCAAGCTTGTTTCTTCTGACTAGAGTTTAGCTCTGAAAAATCAATACCTTTGAACCCAAATAAAAAAGACCTAACATCAGACTCCCTGCTAAGACTGAGAAAACGGAGGAGTGAAGAGGTAGGGAGGTAGCTTACAAGGCTGGCTCTCAGTTGGAGTTCAGGCTAACTATTGCTATAGGTATCAAGAAAAGTATAAAGCTGCACAAATAAAAAAAAATAAAAAACTGTACAGCATGCCTTCCAATCAATGTCAGTATACAAAATTAATAAAAAATTAATTATCCAAATTCGCAGATCTTTGACTAAGGAAAGTTGGCTATAGACGGTTCAAGTTTTAGAGAATTTCTGCTTAATTGGCTGAAATTAAAGCTGTGAGTGGACCTGTCAGCGCCACATGCTTGACAAAAAACGATTTAAAAATCATCTGAGCCATGTAGAAAATTACTGGCAAAACATTGACTGCATCCTATCAAGTCCTACTCTATCCTTGTGAACAATCCCATTGGGGATGAAATGAGTTTGGGAAGCGTGGTTTCTTTGGTGGAGATTACATGTACGCAACCGCTTTATTGCTATTATAAAGTAGTGCAAAATAATCGTGTAGGAAGAATCCTACACAAAAAGGGGTCCCAAAAAGGAGGCCAACTGCGACTATGAACAAATTGGACACAATTTTATTGTATATTCAAAAATAGAATAAACATAATAACGCTCACTGCAAAAAAGAGACACCTTCACCCCCATGATAAAAATTTACAGCACTGTCAAACAAAATAAAATAAAGCTCGGGCTCACAGGCATGCAAAACACTCACACAATGGATATAGGCACAAGGGCAAATTAAGGTGGAATAGTGATGGATATGATGTAATAGTACAACAAAGCAGCAACAAGTAACAATATGCCGAAGGTCAGCAATAAGGGGACCTCAGTGGAATGAGCATGGATCCCACTAAGCTGCAACAACTAATGGAGTATATAGGTAAAAGTATAATGACATACTAGCTGGTTACAATGGACTAACAGCAGGTCTATGTGCAATAATGGACCAGCCAATACAGCGCCCTGGATAGAATATGCCAAGTCCACAGTCACCTGAAATAAATACAAGCAGTTGGGCATAGGATTATGATGGCTGTTGATCAATGTCCATATATGTGATATACGGGGCAATGCCACCGATGTTAGGTCTGACCAAGCAGCATAGGCTCACACACAGTGGAAAAATAAAGTAAGCAGTGAGGGTAACGAGGCACACAGTGTGATGGGTACACAAGTGCTCCAATATGGAATCGCTCCCAGCAATGATGGCTCTGCAGAGCACTGACAGTTCCGGGACCATCAACCAAAGACAAAGCTGGGGCCGAATGGGGTATTTGCTCACCACTACCAAATTTTCAGTTCATCTCCAAAGATGGATGGTATTGACAGCACCCGTGAAGTATTAATGATGTCTGCCTCCACAGCCAATCCCAAAGACGTCCTTATGCCCCGGCTCTGGGCTGCAACTTGCTGGCTTTCCACCACGCCAACTCACCTGGGTGTCTCACACGGCTTTAGTCGCATCTTTGGGATTGGCTGTGGATGGCAGACATCATTAATACTTCACAGCTGCTGTCAATACCATCCAACTTTGGAGATGAACTGAAACTTTGGAAGCGGTGAGAAAATACCCCATTCGGCACCTGCTTTGTTACCGGGTGATGGTCCACTCCTTGAAGTTTGTTCTTTTATTATATAAACTCAAAAGTCCTGGTTTGACTTGAATGCCCCTTGTATATTTACTTTAAACTTTTCTTTTTACAAATCTTCAGTTGCTTCCTGGTTTCTGGCCTACACCAAAATTATGTCATATATTCCAGGAATCATCATGGGCATTTTTCCCTTTCATCTGGAAGAGGGAAGAGGGGCTTTCTCAACTAAGCACACCCTCCTACCTGAAAGCCTAACCTTGTGAAGGTAACAGCAGCCCATGCATATTGTACTGTGCATGCCCAATATTTTCTAGGGTGACAACACAGTAAGGGGAGATGGATTCCATGAAGTAAATACATAAATCCTTTGCAATTACTGAAGATGGCCATGGCTAGAAATGCTCAGATGTGTTTTTAAAGTGATTTCTCCTTAAAATAAAGCATGGAGACATGAATTGATGAGTTTGCTTTAGATATTAAAAATAAATAGTGTTTAATTTGTGGTGTACAGATACAAGTAAAGCAATATTAAACCCAAAACCAAAGATGTAATATATACAGTCACACGTCTAATGACCCGAAAGCTGCAAGTTTTGGGATTTTTTTTAAGGCTATTTTCCCGTTTTCACCTGGTGATCTGTCCAGTAGCACACCTCCTGTATCACAGAGCCCGCACTGTGGATGAAGGATCACAGGAGGCACCTTTGGACAGCAGCATTGTTAAATTTTGGGGGAAGGCAGGGGAGTGTTAAATGTACTAGTAAATTAAAATAAACTAACAAATTGATGCCAAACTCCAGCTAACACACTATAGGCAGTTACAGCAAACTGTTTTTCTTTTGGGATAAAGGTTTGTCAACACCCCTGTCAGTGGTAAATAATTTATCCCCACCTTGTAACTGCTGCATCTGCAGGAAAGCTTGATCTTTTAAAAAAACAAGACTTACTGGCTGGATCACCAGATAAAATTAAAGGAAAGAAAGCCTAAAAAGAAAACTAATCCAGCCACAACATCTAAGAATTGGTAAGTTGCAATATAATAAATGCTTGCTTTTGGGTTTATTACTGCTTTAAGTTCCGCTTTAACAATGAATTCACAGTTTAATAGTTGTGCTCTCTTTATGATATTATACCCCATTCAGTAAAGCTAGGCAGCTATACCATATAGCAGGGGTCCTCAAACTACGGCCCGCGGGCCACATGCGGCCCGCCGAGGCCATTTATCCGGCCTGTCGGCAGGGGCGGGATGGGGGCGGGCAGGGGGCTGCTGTACCTTACCTGGCTCCGGTCCCAGTCCCACGACGATCCAGTCCAGGAAGCGCTGCTCCTTTATTCACTCCGGCCACTCCCTCACTCCTGCCGCTCGGCTCCGCCTCCTCACCGGTGATTGGGCGCCAGAACTGTAGCACAGGAAAGGCACACAGGCGGCCAATCACCTGCGAGGAGGCAGAGCCGAGCGGCCCCGCGAACATCGAGTGAGGGAGGAGCCGGAGTGAAGAAGGACAGCTGACAGGTAAGTGTGCCGTGCTGATGGTGCTGCTGCAACTAGGTATGCTGACTGCAGCAGCACCATGCTGAAGCAGGGGTAAGCAAGTTATGTGTCATTGGTGTCAGTGGGAGGAATAGTGCCCCATCATTGGTGACACTGATACTAATGATGGGGCACTATTCCTCCCACTGACACCAATGATGGGGCACTATTCCACCTCCCACTGACAACGATGGAGCACTATTCCTCCCCCCCACTGACAACAACGATGGGGCACTATTCCACCCCCCACTGACACCAATGATGGGACACTATTCCACCCCCACTGACACCAATAACGTACTATTCCTCCCACTGACACCAAAGATGGGGCACTATTCTTCCCACTGACACCAATGATGGGACACTATTCCTCCCACTGACACCAATGATGGGGCACTATTCCCCCCACTGACACCAATGACGTACTCTTCCTCCCACTGACACCAAAGATGGGGCACTATTCTTCCCACTGACACCAATGATGGGGCACTATTCTTCCCACTGACACCAATGTTGGGACACTATCCCCTTCCCCCACTGACACCAATAATGGGGCACTATTCCTCCCCCCACTGACACCAACAATGGGGCACTATTCCTCCCCCCACTGACACTAATGATGGGGCACTATTCCTCTCCCCACTGACACCAATGATGGGGCACTATTCCTCCCACTGACACCAATGATGGGGCACTATTCCTCCCCCCACTGACACCAACAATGGAGCACTATTCCTCCCCCCACTGACACTAATGATGGGGCACTACTGCTCCCACTGACACCAATGATGGGGCACTATCCCTCCCACTGACACCAATGATGGGGCACTATTCCTCCCACTGACACCAATGATGGGGCACTATTCCTCCCACTGACCCAATGTTGGGACACTATCCCCTTCCCCCACTGACACCAATGGCGGGCACTATTCCCCCACACACTGACACCAACGATGGGGCACTATTCCCCCACACACTGACACCAACGATGGGGCACTATTCCTCCCCCCACTGACACCAACAATGGGGCACTATTCCTCCCCCCACTGACACCAATGATGGGGCACTATTGCTCCCACTGACACCAATGATGGGGCACTATTCCTCCCACTGACACCAATGATGGGGCACGTTTCTTCCCACTGACACCAATGATGGGGCACGTTTCTTCCCACTGACACCAATAATGGGGCACGTTTCTTCCCACTGACACCAATGATGGGGCACTATTCTCCCACTGACACTAAATGATGAGGCACGATTCTTCCCACTGACACCAATGATGGGGCACTATTCCTCCCACTGACACCAATGATGGGTCACTATTTCGCTCCATAAGACACACTTGGGGGGAAATGTCTGTGCGTCTTATGGAACGGCTGGCCCAGTATTCCCGCAGTCGTTGTAAGTCCGCAGTCTCTGGTCATCTCCTGTACTGTGTCCGCATTTGTACATAGTTTTTTTTTTTTTTTTTAAACTATAGTCCAGCCCTCCAACGGTCTGAGGGACAGTGAACTGGCCCCCTGTTTAAATAGTTTGAGGACCCCTGCCATATAGAGTTACACACTTGGAGTATATCCTGTCTGGTAAGCTGTATTTCTCCTATGTCTGATATGCATTTAACCTGGTTAAACCATTCTTTTCTCTTCTGAAAGAATAGAAGATGATCTCCTGTGTCTGGGGATCAAGGTTTCTGTAAAGTTTTATTTCTAGTAAGATCCTTCATGGGCATGTAAAAGACAGTATTCAGTTTTGTATTCACATGCAGAGCCTTTTGCTTGGGTAATTAGAGAGTGAGCTCCTTTCCAACACCACTGAGTATTAGGAAATGTTGAAAAAAATATGCAGCGATGTGCCAGGTTTAGCATTGCAGTGTCAACAGGATGGAGGCCCTTAAGGATATATTTTGTTGAAAACCAGCAGCGTGCCTAAATCTTTCTACAAAGTACATAACATACTTTAAGATCGTCTTCCCATTTATCTTACAATTTGACAGGCATTTTGTATTTTGTTTTCTACAATAAAGAAATATGTCAATACCTCTAGGGCCACCAATTCCTGGAAAACTGCCAAACAAATACTTTTGTGTGACACCAGGATAGCAAAAAGCCAGAAAAGCTCACATTCCATTGCTCAGTATCATCATGATTCCAGCATCATACAATGGCATTGGTATGCATATTCTCCCAACATCCCACACAAGTGTCAATGACTATTGCAGTGTTTTTTTTATCCAATGAAGGGAAGTAAAAAAAAACTGGGATGAATATCTTTTCATACAGATTCATCTTTAGCCCATAACAGGACATGTTCCATTTTTGGACTTCCTCGTTATTTCAGCATTATAAATCACGTACATTCTAACAATTGCATTGCCTTTCTTCCCCTCAAATGGATCCTGATTCGCTTGTATAGCTATGATAATTTTTGCTCTGCAAGCTACTGATCAGGAGTGAACCAGGCACATAAAGTAGGTTTATAGATAGAGAACTGAATGAAAAAGTCTTCTACATATTTAAATCACTTGGTGATTTGAATAATACTGTACATGTAGTAATGAGCTCCACCGGGAACACTAAACCGATGATAGAATATATTTATTTTATTATTATTTTTGCAGTTCTACATGGAGGGACCTAGTGTCAGACAATACAAGAAAATATTTCTCAGACAAGCAGAGCTTATCTGCAAGAAGCAACAGCCAACATTTTTCATGGTTAGAAAAATTACTTTCTATTTTTTTTCAGTTTTGCATTGATTCTTGGGAGTCATGTGATTTTGGATCTCTTCAGATCTCACAATTCAACACCACCAGAGCAATTTTCAATACCTTGTCATTACTTAAGATAACAATGTAATATATATATCATTTTAGGACAAACAATGCTTTAATTTTGCTAAAATTATTTTATTTTTGTATGCAATCCATAGAAGAAATTGTACCAAATCTAAAATAATGCACCTTTTTATACTGTGATTATTGTTAGGTTTTTTTTTAAGTTACTGTATTTAATAAACAATTTAAATATTATTCTGCCACTTGTCCTTTTTAAATTAACACTATAATTATGATTCTGTTATAAAGCATTGCAAAGTTAACTACGAATGAATCAGTTTTTTTTTTCTGCAATATTGCACTTTTTTTTATGTAACACTAAAAAACTTTTGAACAAACTGAATAAAACCAAAACGTTTAAATATAAATGGATAGAAAAAAAGAAAAAAACACATCAGCAGAAAAATAATGTCTAAAGGAAGGAGAAGAAGGAGCTTATTATGGCTAAATAGGGTAAACTATGGGTTAATAAGAAACACATTTTATTTATAAATAAGATTTTTTATTTTACTTCTCAGGTTGCTTTAAATGACATCATATACAGATGGAAGCTAAACCCACTGATATGCAGAAAAAAATAAAACAAAAGTAACCATTTTAATTTGTATCTCTCTATTTTGTATCTGAACATTGTTTATAAATACTGTATCAGAAGGTCAATTTTTTTTTGCTTTAAGATGCAAGAGAGGGAGCAGCAGCAGGGCAAAAGGACAGGGTGTTTCATGCCCTTCTGTACATGCCCTGTATACTTTTTTGGGTGTGTAGCACATCCAAGGTCCACAACTGGTTAGCTTACAAAAAATGAGATAACACAGGAAAAGCATATAAAATGCACATAAAAGGTGAACATAAGTGTTAAAGAGTTTTGAACTGAACTGAAAAATAAACGGTTCAAGTCCAGTAAATAACCTGAAAAGCCTTTTCAGGGAAGAAGTAAATGGGTTAACATCTCCCAGTTGTTCTGCAGCAATGTAAATAAATTAAGCCTTGAAAATGTATGGCAACAATTTCTATAGGTGTTCCAACTTTTGTTGATTACCTACAAGCTGTCTATCTGTATAACAGCAGTGTTGAAACAGACTACATTACTACACCCTCTTAAGCAATATTTGGACAGCATTGCAGTGCACGAAGTAGTAAATTGATAGGCAGCACTGATAGGTGGCACTGATAGGCAGCACAGACTGGCACTGATAGGCTGACTGGCACTGACTGGCACTGATAGGTGGCACTGACTGGCTTGGCAGCACTGACTGGCATTGATAGGTGGCACTGACTGGCACTGATGGGTGACACTGAAAGGCAGCTCAGATGGGCACTGATATGTGGCATTGATGTGCACTGGTAGGCACTGATATGTGGCATTGATGTGGCACTGATGGGCACTGGCAGGTGGCATGGATGAGCACTGACAGCTGACACTGATGGACACTGACAGGTGGCACTGCTGGGGCTACACAAATCATCAGGGCACACTGATCATGCTAGCAGTTCAGTTCTAGTACACAGGACACTATTCTACCATCAAAATATAATAACAATAAAAAAAACAGGCTGATAGCACTGGCAGGCAGGATGGCAGTCTGTAAACGTTTATTATACAAGGTAAATTTTAGATGTGTTTGGGTGTGTGCCAACCAGGGCTTATGTTGACTATACAGAAATCTAGCCTTGCTCACACTACATTGTCCATTGATCTTAATGGGTTAATTTGGGGTATTATGTATGAACAAGGCTGACATAGGGAGTGCAATGTTATCAGGAAGACCAATTCATACACTTGCAGAGTTAGAAATAGTAGTAAAGCGCAACTAATGCATAGCAATTGAAGATAGAGAAAAAAATGTGTGATGAGCAAATATGGCTGTTTCCTGTACAAATATAACTAAAATTGCAGATAGACAGGTTATTCGAAACGTTATCACAAACTGATAAAAAGAGTATGAAGATTTATTTTTTGCATTGTTTATCCATAAAATATGTAAAGTATAATACCATCACTTTAAACAGAAAAAGGTATAACTCATATAACGGAGTCTGAAAGGGACCCTAGAAAATTTTATATGGGAAAAAAGGTGGTCTTCTTAAGATTTTCTACCAAGATTCTAAGGAATTTCTTAACACCACTGCCTTTTAATAATTTATTATCTTATTTGTTATTCATCTGCATACATAATTTGTCTTTTAGGAATACTTGCCTCATATCGGTGCCTATGGCGCTCTTCTATAAATTCAGCATTGTCGTAGAGTTTTTCTAAAAACAGAAAGTTATAGTGCTAATAAATTTGTGCAAACAACAATACATAATATAGTATAATACAAATTTTAATGTATTATCAATTATATTTGTGAAGACCTTTTGCACCCCTGTGGAACAATATACTATACAGGGATGCAATAGGAAGTGAGAAGAAATCACTTCAAAGTGAGGGGAGGTCCCCTCTTACACAATTGTTACTAGTATGGGGGTCCCCATTTGAAAATTTACCCTCAACACTTCAGGTAACGGCTGTAACATTTTGTACTGCCCTTACTTCCGGCTTGGTAAGGGCCTTTGATGATGAGCTTTTTTGCTTGTTTTAACAGGGATTTACACTCATTAGCCACTTTACTAGGTACACCTGTTCAATTGCTTAGTAACACAAATTGCTAATCATCCAATCACATGGCAGCAACTCAGGCATCTAGACGTGGTGAAAACAACTTGCTGAAATTCAAGCAAAGCATCAGAATGGGGAAGAAGAGATTTACATGACTTTGAATATGGCATGTTTGTTGGTGCCAGATGGGCTGGTCTGAGTATTTCCAAAACTGCTGATCTACTGGGATTTTCACACACGACCATCTCTAGGGTTTACAGAGAATGGTCCGAAAAAGAGAAAATATCCAGTGAGCGGCAGTTATATGGACGAAAATGCCTTGTTCATGTCAGAGGAGAATGGGCAGAATGGTTTCTGCAACATTCAGATAGTAGGGTCAGAATTTGGTGTAAACAACATGGTGGTGGTGATGTAATGGTGTGGTGGATATTTTCTTGGCACCTAATAAAGTGGCCGGTGAGTTTACATTTCTATGGCATTGCAAAACCATCCTGAAGCAGGTCAATGCAGGTCATAAGGAGGTCAGCCACAGGTTAAATGCACTTGTCAATACATTCTGAATGATCTTCGAAGTGTCTCAAACTGATGCTATTGA